GTTTTCGGCAGAAGGTATTCAAAATCCGTAAATTATTGCGTTCTGCGAATTCTACTAGTAGCTCTCCTCTGGCGTTTCTAGTACCGATGCCATAATCTCCTACTTCTGGTCTCCAGCCTGCTTCTTTCCTACCTTTGCATTAAAGTCTCCCATCAGTATTGTATACTGTGTTTTTACCTTACTCGTTGCCGATTCCACGTCTTCATAGAAGCTTTCAACTGAAGCGTCATCGTGGCTGCATGTAGGCGCGTAAGCCTGTACCACATTCATCTTGTATCTCTTATTCAGTTTACTTACGATACCTACCAACCTTTAATTATTGCTATAGTATTCCTCTACGTTTCCAGCTTTGTTTGTGTGAATTAGGAACCCCACTCCCAGTTTTCTTCTGTCAGCCAAGCCCCGATAGCAAAGGACGTGCCCATTCTGTAGCACCGTATAGGCCTCATCTGTCCTCCTAACCTCACTCAGCCCTATTATATCCCATTTACCACCCTCTAGCTACTCAAATAGTACAGCCAGACTACCCTCACTAGATAAGGTTCTAGCGTTAAACGTTGCCAAGTTCAGGTTCTAATGGCGGTCTGTCCGGATACAGAGATTCTTAGCACCCTCTGCTGCGTTGCAGATCTGACCGCCGCCGTGGTCAGTTGCTTCGCAGCTGCTGGGGACTGAGGGCCGTGAGTTATTTGACGTATGCATGTGGAAGGTAGTGGCCAGATACTGCACCAGGGTGGCCAATCCTTCTCTGGTGAGGGCGTGCGTTCCCGGCGATGGTTATCGGTGAGGCCGCACCCCAGGCCTCGTAATGCAGTTGCATCACCACGCGGAATTTTTTTATGCGGTAGGGAACTACGCGTCACCGGGATTTGAGCCACGGACCTTTTGCATGCGAGGCGGATGCTCTAACCACTACGCCATCGCTGCTCCCCTAGATATCTGCCAACTCTAGATATCTAGAGCTGGCTCACGTTGGCTCACGCGAAAATTAAAGCATATAGATGTCTTTAGTTCACGGACGCATGACCCTGTTTCAAATGCGTAATTTTCCGGCCAAACTACAGAATTATATAAGGTACATCGGTATTCCACAGATGAATATCTGTAGGCTATAAAATATGTGATACAGCCAGTGCCTTTGTCGATTGCTGGCCCCCTTCAGACGACTACAGCGATTGTGTTGAAGTCTTCCTCAAGGCTAGAACAGGCTGATTTATAGATTACCATTTACCAAATGTAAGAACTTCACTCACTTTAGCATCTATTGGTCCAACAAATGAATATCTGTAGGCTATAAAATATGTGATACAGCCAGTGCCTTTGTCGATTGCTGGCCCCCTTCAGACGACTACAGCGATTGTGTTGAAGCTAATACTTTGCGGTGAGAATCTGCCATCTGTTAAAGAACAAAAGTTTATATTTTATACTAGAGGAATCGTTACGTAATAAAAAGCCGTCACAATTCACAGCTATGGTATAATCGAGTACTGAGGCAGTGTGGGGAAGTGTTTACATCAGTTCCCACGAATGCGGTGTATTGCCATTTCTGTTCTCCTCCCACCAGAACAGATGAAGCAAGCCACACTATATATACGAACATGAGCATGATGATAGCATGAGGTTGCACAAAAGGACGAGAACACGGGAAAAAACAAAGAACGCGAAACATGGCCCCAACTATGCCTCAGTATTTATTCAAGCAACAAACATATACATTTGTGAGAAGGTTAGGTGCACACGGCCAAAACAATAAACATGGGTAGAGCAAGTCTGTCTCAATGAGGCGTTTCCAGAAGATATAAAATAGCGGCAAGTAATTTAACCGAAGATCTCGTGATACATGATGAATAACCCGCTTTATTTATGAGATACGCCTCTTCGATTTTGTGCATTAGCCTATTCGCGGCTGTAGAGCGGGACGTCAAATGTTAGGAGGAAGACATATATGTTTGTAGGGTCAAGCACAGGCCCGAAGAAGTCAAATGCGCCAATGTTGGGGTAAATGACATTCCACTTTAGGGGGAAGTGATTCTTAAATGAAAAAAAAGAGAAAAGTGAGCCCTGCAATCGTCTCTCAGGGGGAGGACACCTCAAGAGTAGCTCACGAGAGAAGGGGGTAAGGAGGGATTAAAAGGATAGGATAAAAAGGTATAGAGAAAGAAAGAACGGAAGTAGAGAGAAAAGGAAAGAGACAGTGACACACGGAAGTAAGGAGAAAATGGGAAAGATTAACACTGTCGCAGGAGTCTGAGGACGGGGCTTAACTCGGCGGGAGCTCTTGTCGGCGTCAGGAGCTTGCGCAAGCCGAGCCAGTCAGCCAGAGCAGGGCTGTCATTCGAGAACGCGGGGGCACAACCTGTCGGCACGAAACCTAGCGAGCGAGTCCTTTCACTTTCGGGTGATAAGCGTTATGTTCGACAAACAAGGTGTTGTGTCAAAAAAGATTCTTGGATCCTGATGCTTCGCTTAAGGAACAGTCATGATCTGCCTTTCTTTGTGCTGTTGCGAATGCGGCTCCATCTAATTGCTCGCTGATGCAACAGTGAACTCATGCTTCGAGGATAAAGCAGCACATTAAATCCAAGAAGTGCGTCTTATCAACAAAGGTCATTCATAGATCAGGGAGCGTTTGGCCTAATCACTAGCCACTGAGTTAGACTCTCTGAATTTGCGTCATAGAGCCATTATTTGTCTGCTCATATTTTTTAGCCCATCTTCAACTATGGTACACATAATTTTTCGTTTCAACGAATTCTGAGTTTACAGTTCTCTCAGTGTTATTGTTACTTTTTGTTATCGCTCTATTGCGCACCACCACGCTAATTGAATTACAGGCACTTGTAGCAGTCCGTACTTCTCCCGTGAGCATGCACCAGATGTGTAATCAGCACCGCAAGAAATGCACCACACAAAGACGACGTATAAGTCCCTTGCTTCATAGACTTATTTGCGAGAATGTCAAGCGATAATCAGTTCAGAGTTTAAAACGCTTACGGGGCCACTCATTTAGAGACCGGCCTGAAGCGATAAGAATATATTCAGCGGCTCCATCTCATGGTCTAAGACAGGACGCTGGCTCACTCGGGGTGTTCCTCAGTTCCCCGTCGGCATTCTATGTCATTCCATCACTACGAGCCATATCGTCGCTCGGCCATATGTGAATAAGTTCACGAAAGCTTTTGTAGGGTGTAGTTGTAACATGCTGGACGGCAAAGGCTCTGGTGATAAGTTTAAAACGCAGAAAACAGAAAGTGTAAATAGAAAAACACAAGATGAGCCCTGAATAGCGCTCGTCTTGTGTCTTTCTATTCGTCTGTGTTTTTTCGTGCTGTTGACCTCCAACAACCAATCGTTACCAAGTTGCCTAGTTTTTAGAACTACTCATTGCTTAGCCATTGCGGCGAAATTGTAACCTATTTTTCGGTTGCGCCCGCTTGCTGAGGGGGAACTGTAGGCGCGGTGCTTGAAGCTGTTCGGATGCAGCTGCGCGTGCCTATTTTAACGCTCGTATGTCAAAAAAGGAAGTGCTCGCGAGAGGTGGCTGGCCAGGCAAGCCACCTGCTTCCCGACCTGCACTCACGTTGCGATTGGTATTTACGGGAGCAAGTTTCTCGTTGTTTTGTGTGCCTATAAGTTTGTGCTCAATTCATTTTCTCTTACCATACTTTTTAGTATCCCGCGAATGCCGCCACGGATGTTTGATACTTAAATCCAAGAAGCGCGTCTTATCAACAAAGGTCATTCATAGATCAGGGGGCATTCGGCCTAATCACTAGCCACTGAGTTAGACTCTCTGAATTTGCGTCATAGAGCCATTCTTTGTCTGCTCATATTTTTTACCCCATCTTCAACTATGGTACAAATAATTTTCCGTTTCAACGAAGCAGGCTGCTGTGTCCGACTATGACGCCACACAGGAACACACTCATTTGTATTTGAAGGCAGTGGGTCAGCTCTCAAAAAAAGAATTAAAAAGGCAATGAGCGCGGATGTCAACAAATATTTACGTCGCTTTTGGTCTTTGTGGAATGGTTCTAGCAGTTTCGTTACTGTAGTCGCACGACTGAAAAATCGATCAGAAAGCGACTAGCCAAGGCAGTCGCTTTTGGCGACCAGTCGCAAGGCTATCAACTTGGTCACGCGTCATGTGCTAGTCGCTGGTGTGAACCAGCCCAATGGTTAGTAGGACACAGAACGCCATCGTGCATTCATGGCAAGAGTTTTGCCTCCCGTGTTAGTAAAGCCCAGTGTGGTGGTGTATGAATCACCACCGTACCATTTCTCTCTTTATTGACATTGCTTGAAAGGGTGAATGTGGAGTAACAGTGTGAATGCTCTTTTTTGTTTTTATGTTTCAGTGGGTGTCACTACAGGTGGTGTCTAGCATCATCTACTGTAACGGCGTACTCATATTCAGGAACCTAAGTCATCGGAACGAAGATGTGCCACTGGGTGTCGATGTGGTTTCGAGCACGTCAAACGGTGCTGTTGCGTCTAAACAACAATCGGAGTTGTGCAATCTTTCGTTTCTTAGTTCTCACTAAACACTCAAGTACTTTTACAAAGGCACGTTTGACTGTCATGCCACACCGACTCTCATGATGGAAGGCTCAGGCGTATATATTTCTTTCAACACATATGTAGCCCCTGTCGCCGCGGTACGCCGATGCCACACTTCTAAGCCAATGAACAGTTTTGGCGTTTCTTGAGGCAATGAAGGCATTTTTATTATTATACATTTACCAGCATATTCTATCTCGGTAACCAGGTAAGTGAAGTGACCGAAAGACAGAGAATTCGACGCATAAGCAATGTAGTCAACAGGAGCCCACACAATACCAGTGCTTTCTGACTGCAGACAGGTATGCGGATTCTTTTCCTACTTGTGTAGAACTATGGGGCCTATAGTAAAGGGTGTCTCGCTGGCACTGGTCTAATCTCTATTATAGGGTGGTTTATATTGAGAATACGTTGTAAAAGTGACAATGAACAAAACTCACCAAAAGCTGTCATTCTTGTCAGTTTGTCCAGGGCAGCTTTCGTTATGCTGTAGGCGGTAAGGTTGCGAACCTGTAAAAAACGGAGGATCACTAACAATTTTGAATATTTCAAATAGATCCTCCAAAGTGACCTAATTGTGATTGCGCTCGACAAAGGTCGAGCGATTGAGTCGTTTATGAGGCGGTCGGTATTTTCTATGAAGGTGAAACATCTTGAAGCCCGTGTATTTGGGATACCTCAATGCCCAAAGAGGTCCTAATTTCTCTAATTTCGGCACTCGGAATAACCACGCAATAGACTTGAGACGTGAAATCAGAATTTTTTTTAAATAATAGATTTCAAATATGAATATGAGAAAGAGGAGGGCAAGGCACAACTGTTCACCAGACGTAAGACCTTCCGGTTTCCTCTCCCACACTGCAGGATACAAATAAGAGAGCATCATTGGCGTAGCCAGAACGTGGCGAACCAATGCCACACCAGCCTGCACCCCCTCCCTCCAACAGTCACCTCATAAAATATGTTATTCGTCATTCATTGCAGAGCACGAAATAATGATGCAAAACATCTGGCCGCCCAGAACTTCTGATCAAATAGGGGCCCAACAAGAAAACAGAAAATAAAATCACGCCTACACCCCTGGTTAGCACGAAAAAAATTAGATTAGTTTAAACACCGCGGTCGTGTTCCACGCACGTTGTTGTGTTGACAAGTACAGGGTACTGACGATCTCAGGCGCACTTAGTTCTTTTGTAAGCATTAACACAGTGCGAGTAGTTCGTGAAAGCAATATCTTCCTTGAACCATGCCATGTTTCTTTTGCCTCGCAAACCTACGTGCACACCTGTAAAATTGACGTCATGAATATTGTGGCAGTAAAGTGATGTGATCTACAGGCAGGGCACAGAAAGACCAAAACTTCAGGGCTGGGCAGTATCTTGGGCAGTATCTGTACACTAGGAACGAAGAATAAAATAAGGAAACTCTGTTGCCAGTTAGGCCGAGCGAAATTAGGTGCCTTTTTCTACCCTCTAAAACAACTCATTTATTTATGCCTTCCAAGTCAATCAATCCAGCAGGCCGTGTTTGGTGTGTTTTTCCCGTTGACACCATAGCGGGAATTCACACACGGTTTCTTGCGTATACGGCTGGTCTGGTGTATACGGCCATTTTCTGATGTGACACAGACTGGTGTGTTTTGGTAAGACTCGGAGTGGTGTGGTTTGGTAAAACCCGTGGTAAGAACCAAGCTGGTTTGTTTTTGTTTGACGGGTCCTGTGTACACTTGTATTTACGTATTTAAATGCATTGTGGATGAAACCATGCACTTTTACGTGCCCATGGGCAAAAACAGCAGGCTCGCACAGTAGGACTGAAAATGAATTCTCTGTTTATTTTTTTCTCCTCTTCTCAGCTAGAGTTTTGTGTTGACTTGCGTTGCTTTCTTTTCCACAAGGTTTCACTGCACTGCAGGACATGGAAAAGACGAACAGTTAAATAACGTTAAATAAGTTTGTTGCAGATTTGTGCTCTTACATTCAGGAAAAAAATTAACAGCACGCAAATATTCAAACATTCGAATATTTTTCTCATAGTACTTGCTAATAGAGTATTTTCCACCGAAATTTTTACTATTAAAACTTCCCGAAGACAAAAGTCAATGCTCATTTAACTGCGGCCCCTTCAGATTTTTCTAATGCTTTGTCTCAGTACTTTTGTAGTTTGCGGCAAAGCTGCCTTTCAAGCGCAGTAGCGATTTCTTTAAGGCGAGAAAATGCTGCTTCCAAAATGGAGATGCACAGTGCCCTTACAGTCACTCCTTCATCTTTGTTATTATGCTTCACCAATTCATGGGCAACGCTATGGGCGTAATAAAATTGACTCATGAAAGCGCTGGTTCAAACCTGCATTGCAGGGGTGGAAGCTTTATTTGTTGTTTCCGACCAAACGGTCCGAAAAAAATGTACGAACATTCTCACTCTCTGAAGTTTCAGGTTTTATTATACAAAGACATCTTCACAAGAGAACAGAAATTTCAAATTAGAAAGAAGCAAGTCCTTGTCCACCAACTCAGAAGGAACTCACAGAAGTTCAGTGTGTGAGTGTGTGTGTGTGTGTGTGTGTGTGTGTGAGGGGGAACCTTTCACGTGTACACTGCTACTGACACAACATTGGTTGCACAAAATATAATAAATAAATACAATCCGGTCTGCAATGCCTCATACTTGATAAAACAAGGAAGCACCTTCCCTCCAGACCTTCCCTAACCTAGCCAAAAAAAACAATGCCCATTTCTATCATGTATTGTTGTGCTGAGGAATTATTATCGGGCTGAGGAGCTTTTCTTCAGTAACTTCACTTCTAATTATTTAAAAATATTAAACAAATGCTCAAAAATATTTTATTCACACTCACACATGAAAATTAGAATTGTTTTGAACACAAAGTTGTGCCAATCGCACAGCTCTAAAAAACAGAGATTTATTTATGTTCAATAAGTAATGCCTATCGCTGAACTACGGTTCGCTAATGCACTAGTAATGCCTATCGCTGATTAGGTTCGCTGATGCACTAGAAGTAAGTGTACGTTTGAAAAAAATCTTATGTGCTCTTCATACAGCCTATGCAACTGAGCAACTCATTTTTAAAAGTAGGACTATCATTCAAGCAAATCCTGACTTAAGGAAGGCTCACACATCATGAAACAGCAACGGCTGGAATATAAGTACAATAATGAATAACTGTTGAGGTTTTCTTTGCTCAGACTACTGCAGACAATAGAAAATATGCAACAGGTTGATGCCACCTAAGTTTCAGCAATACCAAATAATTTCTGTATGCAAATAATGACAAAAGAAAAATAACACTGCATTTCAGTATTTATTTCACCCAACAGGTATGTACAGCATCAGCTACACACCACCACATGGCCTCGACTTTCTACGACTGATGCTAACGCAGCCAAATCTTGCAGACAATTTACTTACTGCAACAAATATTAGATGGAGCACGGGTCGATTTCTCCAGTAAACTTCCAGTTCACTTCTGCCTAACTACGGGATCGGAAACATAATTGCCAGGTTTGTTTTTGCCACATTTTGCTCTTGGAAACTTTCTTTTGAGCCGACAAAATTCATTGCCAACGCTCATCTCAGCAACGAGCCATTGTGTGTGACAACACATGCACCTTTGTAGTTTAAAATTGCAGGTGCTGGTAAAAACATTTGTGTATTAGAAAAACGGAGGAAACTCACAACTTTAGCGTTTGTAAATATTTCACAATAAATAAAACTGAAGTGTGGTGACCAAGCAGTTCGTCTTATATACAAATATACTACTTCGTTCAAGCAGCAACTACAATTTCGAAACCGAATGTTGTGTTACTGTCACACACAATGGTTCATTTCGAAGACAAACATATGGCAACAAATTTTATGGGGTGCGTGGAACGTTGCCATGGGCGAAACATGGCAAAAAGAACCTGCCAAGTGAGTGCGTTAAACCCACCAGTCAGACAGACGTGAAACAAAAATTTAGTATCCAAATCGACCCCCCTCCATCTATACTATAAGGCGCAGCAAACACGCAGTGCCTTATAGTATAAGGAAAGCTTGGGAAACAATGCAGGTATGCCAATATACAATGGAATAGTACTTCAAGAAGCATGACATTGTGATTTCCATAATGCGTCGGGGCTTCAATAAGCTGTATGGGCCAAGATGCTTTTGGTAGTTGTTTGTCAAAGGCCTAACGTACTATAATGTCACATCCTATGTGACATTATAGTGGTTATATGTGACATTATAGTGTGACAGTGGTTGGCAAGGTACGATGCAGTGACCATAGAATGGTACGGTCTCGAATTCGCCTAGACTTGAAGAAGGAACGACAGAAACTGATACGCAAGAAGCCAATTAATGAGCTATCACTGAGAGGGAAAGTACAGGAATTCAGAGTGTCGCTGCAGAACAGGTACTCGGCTCTTAGTGGGGAAACCAACCTTAGCGTAGATACAATGAATGATAATCTGACGAGTATCATTAGGGAGTGTGCAGTGGAAGTTGGAGGCAGGGTAGTTAGACAGAACACTGGCAAGCTTTCCCAGGAAACGAAGAACCTAATTAAGAAGCGTCAAATCATGAAAGTGTCAAGTACAACAGACAAAATAGAACTGGCAGAGCTTTCACAGTTGATTAATAGGCGTAAAGTATGCGATGTAAGAAGGTATAACATGGAGAGAATTGAACACGCTCTGAAAAACGGAGGAAGCGTCAAAGCAGTGAAGAGGAAACTTGGGATAGGCAAAAGTCGAATGTATGCACTAAGGGACAAAGAAGGCAAAATAACTACCAATATGGATAGGATAGTTAAAATAGCGGAGGAATTTTACAGAGATCTGTACAGTAGCCGAGACAACCACGACCTTAATACTATAAGAACTAGCAGTAACCCAGATGACACCCCACCAGTACTGATAGAAGAAGTCAGAAACGCTTTGGAGAGCATGCAAAGAGGCAAAGCTGCTGGTGAGAATCAGGTAACATCAGATCCGCTGAAAGATGGAGGACAGATTGTGTTAGAAAAACTACCCACGCTGTTTACGAGGTGTCTCCTGACGGGAAGGGTACCAGAGTCTTGGAAGAACGCTAACATCATCTTAATACATAAGAAAGCAGATGACAAGGACTTGAAGAATTACAGGCCGATCAGCTTGCTCTCTGTAGTATACAAGCTATTTACAAAGGTAATTGCTAACAGAGTAAAGAAAACATTCGAATTCAATCAACCAAAGGAACAAGCTGGATTTCGAACAACCTACTGAACAATTGACCCCATTCATACCATCAATCAGGTAATAGAGAAATGCTGAGAGTATAACGAACCACTATACATAGCCTTCATAGATTACGAGAAGGCGTTTGATTCAGTAGAAATATCAGCCGTCATGCAGACACTGCGGAATCAGGGCGTAGATGAAGTATATATAAACATTCTGGAAGAAATCTACAGGGGATCAACTGCTACCATAGTGCTTCATAAAGAAAGCAACAGAATACCAATCAAGAAGG